GTAACTGCAGCAATTTGGCACAGGAACAAATTCAAGTACGCCCCTGTAAAGCTGAGCAAACCCTGCCCAGGCAGGAGGGACCCTCATTGTAGAGGGCTGGGCACATTGCCCAGGACACTCTCAGTCAGAAATTTCCAGTAACCTCTAGTGCAAAACTGGGAACCAGGCTGCAATGGCAGGTCTGCTAACTCCCTTCAACCACTTGATGCAGCCAGAAAATATTCATCAAAATAATTTCCTATCAAGAAAGTACTTCAGAAGAAAACATCACACAAACGTCTTTCTATCAAAACCTCTGTATTTTCTTTCAGTACATTTTTAAAGTCTCTGGAGTTGAAAGATTTTTTTGGCTTTTTAGCAGTCCATAATGGAAACAGAACTACTTTGTGGCATAGAGTGACATACTTTACTTTGTCACATTATAAACATTTTGATGTATCACAGGTAGTACTAGCCATTAAAAGAAACAAATAGAAAAAAATTTACAGCAGCCTGTCACTCAGGACAAACCAAAACACCTTAGGTATTTCTACACACTCACAATTATTTTTTATGGCTACTGAAATTAGTTTATGCTGCTAATTAACACACACACACATTTCAGGTATTTAAAGACAGTGCAAAGTATCAGCCAGCCTAACCATAAAATACTTTATTTGTTATAAAGTAGTAGCTGCCCTTCATGTTAGAACAAAAAATATGGTTACATCTTAAACAGCATTTCTAAATCAAAGAATTATCTGTGATATAGAACTCTCATTTTAGTGAAAGTAGCATTTAGGACTTGTTCATAAATGCATCATTAACCTATAAAGTTCCTACAAGACACCCCTAAAGTACAAAAACATCTGCTACGAAGGAGAGTGCTAATGTCTTTCACAATGTTGTTCTGTGGTGAGAACAGTGGAGTATGAGGAGAAGAAGAAAAAAGAAGTCAGGCACACTGGATAAATTAATGATGAAGTGTTGTATATGCAAAATCAAAACACTGTTTCATGAACCTGACAGTTTTAGTGGCAACTCCAGTATTTTCTTTTTCCTGCCAAAAGAGTTATTTATTTACTAAACCATCTTCCAAACTACAATTACCATTTTAACAAGGCCAGCGACAATCTCTTTTCCCTGCTGCCACACAAAGCTTGGCTGTGTGATCCACCTCATCCTGGAGCTCATTGTCCAGACTCACCTGCTTGATAACATACTGAACCTGCTCTGAGTGGAGAACAGCACTTTTGATAGCGTTGGGCTTGCAAGGAGAAAGTCCCTTGTAGATCACCGGGGTGTAACATTTCATGGCATATCTCAAGTCACTGGACAACCGCCTTTCCTCCAAGATATCCTCAAACTCATCTCTCTTCTTTGATGTGAGCTCTTTCTGCTAGGAACATACAAATGAAGAATGAGACACTGTCTCAAACTGTTTGGTGACCTGCTTGGCTGGCTACAGCACCAAAATAATGATATGCACTACTTCTGCAACATTTGGGGGTTCTTCTTAGCTTCCAGTAATGTCTGCATGCTACACTCTGTGACTGCAGGAACCAACACCACCTGCTTGCAAGAGTGATCCAGAAAGAAACTAAAAAGCAAAATAAACAAGCAAACATACACCCCCCCAAAAAACCCCTCACTCTAATTCCTTTCAATTGCAAAGATCCCCAAATCACCCTATGCCATGTTACTTAATTCTTCCTCCCCCCCCTGCAAAAAACCCTTACCCTAATCCCTTCAACTTCAAAGATCTTAAAGTCACCCTATGCCGTGTTACTTAATTCCACACAACAGAAACTGAGAGAAGACATGGGCTTTTAAAGCTGAAGTGCCTTGCCTCCAGCCTCTCCATAATTAATAGGTATTAACTAAAACACTTTTGATTCCAACTCTCACAGCTTCATTAAGACAATGCCGTGATTCACATTATAAAAAACCAATCATCAACACACAGAAAATAATCCCTGCTACTTAAAAGTTGTAGCTGGGGCCTTGGTGACTTGAAGCTTTCACACAGCTTGGATGTAAGGTACATGAAACATTATCAGGCAAGAACAAATTTAAAAAAACCCAAATCACCTCACAGTCAGCCACATGAATGCAATATGGTGCTCATGTAGGTAAAAAGAGAGCACAGCCTCTGAGTAATCAGCACCACCACTGCTAAGCAGGAAAAACCCCAGGGCACCAAGAACTAATTTGTGGATCAATACTGCTGCAAAAAATTCACACAAAACTCTTCCCTTTGGGCCAGTAGACCCTTGTGCTGGAGAGAGATGTCTCCTATTATCTCCTGTATCATTCATACAGTTTGTATGAATGACCCCTCTGTCTTCCCAAGAGTGAAACCGTATTCTCCAAGCTTCAAACCAGCAGCAACAGCCACCAGGTAAGACAACTGGAGTAAGCCTCTGTTAAATAAAAAAAGTATTAGTTATATTTATTGGAAGTTATTAAAAATAAAAATGCTTATGTCTTCCTCCACAGTTCCACTTGAAGGGTAGCACTGGGAATCTTTTCATTCATTCTAGCTCCCCTTTCTATATCTGATCCATGCAGAACCAAACTGATAACAAAGGGTAAAACATGCTTCATGAGCTCCTTCAGTGACCTTTTCTGGTGCTGAGTGGAAAGCCTGGCCAGCAAACACACAGGGGAACACCAGCAACAGATAAGCCAAATGCCCAGCAGTGACAGCTGGGTTTTCAGCCTTGGGAGAGGGAGTCGGGTTTCACTGCCAGCCAGCCACCCAGAGCCACATCAGCAGCACTGTCACAGCAGCTGACCTTTGCCGAGAGCAAACCTTTAGCTCCCGTCCATTCATCACCACAAGGTAATCTGGTGTAACAAAACAAAACAACTCAAATCAGGAATATCTCCACTTAAGAATGACAAAATATCCTTCAAAGCCTCATCTGTAACAAAAGTCAATTTTGTTTTATTGGAGGGCACAAATCCCACTATAACGCTTGACCTTCTCAAGTTCTTTTACCCACACAGCACAGGCAAATTTGGAGACCATCCCTCTACTATAATTGCATTTAGTAGATTGTATAACTTTTCTTTCCACAGCTGCAGTTTAGAGAATTACCTCATAGTAACTGCAGAACACACTCAGCAGGGACTTTCAAAACAATCCCATACAGGTATTAAAACTTTTAGGGGTTTTTGTCCTGTATGATTTAGCATTACAGCTTTCAACCTCTCTTCTTTCACAGCTTTCAATTGGTTAGTATTTTGCAAGAGCTGAGTAAGCTAAGATCTGTTAAGATGACTGTAAATAGTTTCTATCAGCCATCTGTTGCTGTTGACACCTTATATCAATCCCCTTGATTAAAATAAAACAGAAATAAATCTCTTATGTTGTATAATGGCAAAAAAGCCTCAGAATAGTAGCAGAAAATGACTCTAAGTATCACCTACTCAGATAAGATGTGACAAGTCATTGCTCAGAACATCTAAGCAATGTTTATGTCAGTTACAAAAAGTTAAAATCCTGCAATCTGCAACTACATGAAATCCAGACAAAGAAAGGCAGCACTCAGCACGGGCATGATCAGCCACATCAGCAGTCACCACACTGCTACAGCTGTTCCCCAGCACAACTCCTGTGAGCAGTTTTGCTATGGCCATGGCCCACTGAAAAATCACCTCTCTGCCTCTGCTCTTCGTCTGAGTTCTTCAGACTTGATGTGCAACTGAATTCTCTCCATGGCAATAGTTATTTTCACGCCCTGTTCTGAAGGACCACTGAGGGAGCCAAACCACACACTTCACCAAACACTAAAGATTTGCAACTGTGCTTTTACACATTACAGCCAAGCTGTTGTTCCAGCTTCAATTGCCAGCTGGTGGAGAACACACTTGGAAAACACACTGTTGGAAACCCGGACATCAGAAGATTCAGTGGCACGCACTGTTACTGTGACAGTGGTGAAGTGTGGAAGCAAACCAGCAGGAGCCTGGAACTCCTCTGTTTCCATATAACTAGGATATGCAATGTAACGATGGTGCTCACGATGCCCTTGGGATACTAGCACGCAGACAAGACACAGAAGAGAAGTTCGGGAATCTGCCGAAACAAGGAGCCGTTTCCCTCTCTCCCTAGTCCCCTCCTCCAAACGCTAGGAGAGAGGTGGGGTTTAGCACCCCACACCTAAACCTCCCTGTCTGAGGCTGGCGAAGGAGCTGCGGGGAACGAGCAAGGTCAATAAAGTAATTTTCACTGAGTAACACGGGGAAACCCGCTTCGGCCGCTCCATGCCCACGCCAACCTCCCAGCGCGGAGTTCCCCACGGCTGGCAGGACAAGTTGCTGCGGGCTGAAGCCCTGCGGAGCACCCGGTGCCCGGACCCCGGGACACTGCCTCCCTCAGGAGGGGGCATTCCCACCGCCCCCAGCCCGGTCGGCCTGCCACGGCAGCTCTGAGGAAGCCGCGGCGCTGCTCGGGATCGGGAGCTCTGGCTGTCGCGACTGTCACGACAGGCAGCGAAGGGCGCGCGGGAAGGTGAACTGCTGAGGGAAAACGTTCGGTCCCGCCGGGGCCCGGGAGAGGCCTCGTCCCTCCCTCCGGAGCGCGGTTCCCCTTCCCCGGGGACACGAACCGGGGCTGAGGGATGGAGGGGCAGACTGCGCCAAGCGCCGTCATTCCCCTTCAGAGAGAGCAGCGCCGCCGCAGCGCGGGTGAGGTGAGCAGCCCCTTCCCCGCAGCACCGCTCCCGCCGCCGCTGCCGCCTACCGAGTACATGGGCGCCCCTCGCCGCGCCCGCCCGGGCGCCCCCGCCGCCGCCGTCGCCATGGTCCTGCGAGCTCCGCCGCGTCGCCCCGCGCCCCGCTCGCCCGCCCTAGCCCGTCGCGCTGCCCTGCCGCCCGCCGCCGCCTCCCGCGGCGCCCATGGCCCCGCGCCGCCCCGGCCCGGCTGCCTGGCGCGGTGCGGCGGCGGAAGGCGGGGGCACCGCGCCATGGGCGGCGCCATGTCGGGTGCGACGGGAGCCGCCGGGGGTCACACGCCGGCCCGCTCGCCCGCCGCGGCAGCCATGGGACCGCGGGAGCCGCGCCACCGGCTGGAGGCGGTGCTCGGCGCCCTCTACGACCTGGGTGGGTGCGCGGGGCCGGGCCGGGTGCTGCGCCGGCACCACGGTCCTCTCTGGGGGCCGGGGAGGGGAAGGGAGGGGAGGGGACCGGGCGTGGGCGCTCTGGGGCGGCGGCGCGGAGCTGACCCACGGCATGTGCTCGGCACAGGTGAGGAGCCCGGCGGCGGCCGGCGCGCTGCAGAGGACGGCGAAGCGAGAGCTGTGCCGCCGACAGTGGAGGAAGAAGAGGAGGAGCAAGAGGAGAGACGGGAGCCTCAGCCGGCGGCGGGCGGGCGGCGCGGCGCCCGCGGCTTCTTCGGGGAGCTGCGGGCCGAGCTGAGCGCCGCCGGCCCTGCCCCGCCGGCCCCCGCCGGCCCGCCCGCCGTGGAGGTGGTGGTGTTCCGCGGGAGGAAGAGGAAGGAGCGGCACGGCCCCTCGGCAGCGCCCGCCGGCACAGCACAGGTAGAGCCGGGCGGGCGCGGTCCCCGCTGCCCCCGAGCCGGCTCTGCCCGACGGTGGGCGCCGTGGGGCGGGGAGAGCTCCAGCCCCCTGCCCTGCCTGTGTTTGTCCCTCTTGTGGTACAGCTGCCTGAAATCCGCTTGCTTTGGCCATCCGCGTCCTCAGCTCGATGGCATCTGGTCCTGCTGATTCCCGATGGGGCTGCTGGAAACGGGCAGGATGAAGCAGGGGAGGGGGCAGGACTTGAAGACCAGTCTTTTCAATTTCTGATCTCTGTATAAGAATCCTGTGTTTGAAATAGGCGCACTTCAGCAAACTTAGTTGATTTGCTGACAGGCCTGATGTTACGGCAAGAAGTGAAAGAGATGGAAGGCTAATAAGGCTCATGGCTACTTCAGTGCCCAGGAGTTCTGTGTGCTGCTCTGTTCCTGTCAGTAGCTGTGGATGTGAGGTGCCAAAACTTGCTTCTCTTCTCTGGCATCACAGCCGCACTGGACCATTGACCAGCAGCATTTGTTCTTGGAGGATCGGTGTTGGGTAGTCAGTGGGGGATGGCATGACAGCATTAGATATCAGTCCACTGGTTTGGTTTCCTGCCACCAAACTGCTTTTCACTACCAAAAATTGTAGCTGAGTTTCTTCAGCAGGGATGTCTGGATAGGTTTGGCTGGAAGCTGAGCTGAGGGGTTGATTGGTCTCCAGATTTTATGGCTTTTCGGGTTGTTTTCCTTGAGTTGTCTTTATGGCCATAACATCAGAAGCCCATTCTAAAATAAGCTCTGATGGGCCAATATATGGCTGTCTTGAATTCAGAGAGACTTACTGATATTGGGGTTTTGATTGCGTGGAACTGGGGACTTCAAGAGACTCCAGCAGTTGTTTGAATCCATAAACTTCTGTGCTTTTCCCAGCATGTTTTCCTCTAAAATTTTTCTCAAGTTTTTTATAACTGGAGTTTTTTTATCTGAAAATACTGGTGTTGCGCTTGTTAGCAAAACGCTCTGAAGATAACCGGGTGTATTTGTGGTTGAAATTGCAATTCTATACTATATAGAATTGCAGAACTGAGAGGAGTTTGGCTGTGGTGGATGCAGAGGGAAGCCCTGGCGTAACCCTAGGGCCTGAGCCTGTGACTTATTGTGCCCTGAGGTCCTGCAGAGTGAAAAGGAAATGCATTAAATGTATTTCAGTTCAGCTGTAATGCTTATGTAGTACTCCTGTTTCCTCTGAGCGGATTGTACCTTTGGGAGCAAACAGGGAAGGTGAACGGGTAATATCTTGAACAGATGGCAGTTTGTTGGCAGAGCTTCCACTCAGAGAGGTGCTTCAGAACATCCTCCCTGAAATCAGAAAGCAGACGGTCTAAGATAATCCTGGGAAATTTGTACCTGCTCCACAGTGTCCCATGTGGGACGCTCCTGTAACAAGCAAGCATGGAACTCTCTCTCTCCCTGGGGATTTTGTGCTTCTTTTTCTTTCCAGGAGATAGTGTGTTCCCCCTGGAGAGTGCCCTCCAAGCTGAAAACTGCTGATGGAAGGCATCTGTGTAAATCGTGGAGTAGATGTACTTTTTTCTGAGCTCATTTTGAGCCAGTCCTTTCTTCACTCTGTGCTAAGTGGGTTCTGCCATTGCTGACAGTGCACCCTTTGGAGCTGTTTCTCTGGCATTAGTGAAGCTGGATATGGACACTAATGTATGTCCATGCAGTTAGGAATTAAGCTTGTTCTACATATTGCCCCAGCTGTGAGTACTTGCACTATTGTCAGTGGACTGTCTCAAACAAAATGGCAGTGAGCTAAAATTCATGAGCTATCCTACTTTAGCTGTTCAGGATGGGTTTGGAAATGGATATATGAGTGATACATTGTTCACTTGTTGCAGTTTTTCTCTTACTTACCTAGAAAAATGCCACTGAAACTGTTTATTTTAACAGATCCTGGTAATAAAGCTAGAAGAAAATGCTGCTGAAAACCCGTGTATTATTCCATACAACTGACTTTACATTTCACTGCTTTTCAGAAAGCTATCCAAGACAGCATTTAAACTGGTGTTACTTGTCATATTCATTTGAAATATTTTGTTTTGTTTTGTTTATAGACCCAAATAGTGAATGAAGAGAAAAATGCAGTCAGACAAGAATTTAACTTTGAAAAGGTAAGTCAGTAGCATCAGACTAATGTCACTAGTTTAGTGTACAGTTACGTGTACACGTATACTTCAGAGAGCTATGGTGGGACTGATGGGAAACCTTTCCAGAAATGGCTAGGTGAGGATTGTGGGTGAGGATTTCCTAATAGGAAATCTCTCTTGTAGGTGAGGATTTCCTAATAGGTAATTCTGGCTACATGCCACACCAAAGGAGGAATAGGCTGGCAGCAGTCAGCTGCTCCATGTGGAGAGAGGTGTGTAATTTCATGGCCTTTCTTTCTGATGTTCCAGTGAGAATTTGAGGGGAATGTGTAAAGGTGCTTGAATTCCCATAATGTTTAACATAGTTCTTTCTGCCTACAGTTTTAAATCTCTGATATCTCATATAGGAAGGAAAAAAAAGTGTATTTGCATCTGTTTTTGAAACAACAAATGCCTTTTTCCATTTGTCTTTTTTTTCTCATCCATTCTTATGTGAACATAACTAGCATTGGCCACCTTAGCTACCAATTTGTTTACAGATCTGTGCAAGTTGTTTTGTGTGCCTAATCGTGGCTCAGGGATGTGTTATGATCCAGTGGAGTCTCTCTCTGGAGATTCTGCATGGAGCTTGGTACTGCTAAGGAGGGTGGAGATTTAACCACAGATTTAAAAAAGATTATGGATTCATTAGTGGTTTTGCCAAGGTATGCTTGTGTAGTGTTAACTCTGCCTATGTGTGTAGTCAAACCACCATCTGCCTGTCCATGTTTCTCAGGGATGAAGTGCTCATGTTTTACATGGAAGAAATGAGTTGTGTTACTTTATGTAAAATGAGGAGAATTGAAAATTGTCCCTCTGACAGTCCTCACCATCCAGAGATTAGTTGGACAGTGGTTAACTGCAGGACAGCTCTGAACTCAGTTTTATTTTATAGCACACCAATTTCCAGTGTTAGCAAGGATTTCCTCAGGAGTATGACTTCATTGAACTCTGCCAGGCATTGCTTTACAACCGGTTGGACATTATGAAATGCCTGCAATTTTCTGCAATGTTCTAGGCTCGCCTGGAAGTGCACAAGTTTGGAATCACTGGCTACAAGAAGCAGGAGCAACGTGTTTGGGAACGGGAGCGTGCTATCATGCTGGGAGCCAAGGTAATTGTCCCTTGGTTTGTGGTGCAGGTCACCCAGCTGTTACAATGCAGAAAAGCAGTAAAGAACATGAGGGGCTTTGGTATTCCTCTTTTAAAACACAAAATCCCCTGCCCTGACCCTTCTCCCACTTCATCCTTACTTTTACATCATCTGTTCTGTCTTGTCTATTTTCTGTAGATGATTAGAAAATTAGTATGGGTGTGTTATCAGGAAAGTATTACAGATTAAGTATGACTGATCAGGCTGAATAACAACATTTACTGATTTTTAATCAGGCCATTCAAAAAGAAATAGTTGGAGAGCGGGGCTCACTTTTTAAATCTTCATTCTCACAGACAGATAAAGATGGAGAAAAGGTTTTAGTTGATCATAACTAGTATAAAACAAAAAAATAATGTTTGAGGTATTTTTTAGGAAGTGGGTTGGGTTTTTTTGCTCAGAGTGTGTATGTAAACCTTGTAGGACTGATAACAGAACAGAATTGTCTCTCTCTGCTGTCCTCACAGCAAGAAAGGAACAATTTGTGATTACCTGACGTCTCTTAAGTCCAATCCTCTCACCCAAAAGGAAATTAGCATTTCTAATATTTTGCCACCACCGTGTGAAAAACACTGTCTGTACAAGTGTGTGAATAATTTTTGAACCTATTTCAAAATTTAATCAGCAGTATCCCTCCCAATCTTTGTTGCAGCCCCCCAAAAAGGCACATATGAACTACAGGACTTACCAAGAGAAACTGAAAGAGAAAAAAGCAGTGAAAGATGCTGATAAGGAAAAGGTTTGTATGAAATTTTCTGTAGGAAAGGGCAGCATGTAGGAACCAGCCCTCTTTAAAAGAGCCTGACAGATAATAACACCTCAGGTGCAGGAGGAGTGCCTGAGCTTGACACCTGCTGCTCCCTGTGGATTGGGCTCCTGGCTCCTACAGGATTAATCTCATTGGTAAAAGCTGGTTGTGGGCAGTAGGAAGACACAGAGTTAGGCTTGTGTTGTGGTTGGTTTCACTGCCTCACCCTTCCAGGCTGATAGACTGATGACACAAAATCAGCAGTGGTTTTTTTTTTTTATCCTTTCCTCTTAAGAGGAAACAGAATGGTCCCCAATTAAAGTTTGTTGCATGTTGTCTGACCATAGAGAGCCAGATCTTCAACTGCTTTTTTATCAGCACAATTCCATCTAGGATCCTACTCATTATTTAAAGCAAGGGTGAGGCCTCTGTTGCATCCATCCTCTAGCACAGCCCATCTGGCTCTAAGCCTACTCTCTGCCTCCCTATGGAGCCTTCCCATGTAGGTGGGAGCAGGCTGGTGGGGGTGGTAATTGCTCTGTCAGCCTGTTTCCTGCCACCCTCTTCCCCAGGGACCTACTTCTCCTGCTCTGTCATGTGGCTCAAAGGGCATGACCAGTCACAGCTGAACCTGTTATTTGACAGCTGCCCTCAGCTGGGTGACAGATTTCACCTGCCTGGTAGCAAGTCCATCTTCTGACCCTGGGATCTGTCACGTGCCCCAGGAGGAAGCCTCTGCTTTGCATGTGGCAGGGACAGCACGTTGGTCATGAGTGGGCTGTGCTTTCCATAGGCATTGGGAAGGGCTCTGGGCACTCCTGGCAGTGGCTCCATAATGAGTTGCATCACTTGTTCTGTCAGAAGGTCTCCCAGCTTGCTTTAAGTTCCTGCTGCTCTGTGAGGTAAAGGCTATTTACTGAATGTTCTTTGTGCAGGTGATTGTTTAACCAGCATGCTCTGTTCCTTTTTCATTAAAATATGTGTCTTTAAAAACAGGAACATAAAAGTGATTCTCTTAAGAAGAAGAAGCAGAAAGAACAGAAGGAGAGGTGAGGTGTTTTTAACATGGTCTCCCCAGTGTATGTCCCCTGTGTAATTGCACAGTCTTACTCCAGAAATCATGCACATCACAGTGCAACAAAATTCTCCAGGTGCTAGCTCCTCAAAAAATGGTGACACTGCTCAGTGCCTAGCTGTTCCAGAGGCCTTCAGTTCCACAGCTTTACTTGACAGTATGTCAGTTCTGCCCCAACACGTCCTAAGACTGCAGCTGGAGGTCAGAGGGATGAAAATCCCTGTGTGCAGACTCAAGAAACACCGCTTGCTCAGAGCATTTGCCCTAAGAGATAATTTCTGCAAAGCATAAGCTACAGTATACAGGGGCTTGAAAGTGAGCTGACATTTCCGAATCCTAGTGCTGCAAGTTTCCTCTGTACTCTGTCTTCCTTCTCTATCCAAAAATCTTTGTGTTTCTAAACATTTAAAAATATAAATTGTGCTGTAATGTGCTGTAAATTTTGCATGTCTATGAAGGAAAAATGTTCTGAAGTTTTTACATGCTATGGTGTGATAGTCCATAATACCAAACTCTGCATAAATAGGTGACTTTTTCACCATTTTAAGCATTTACCTGTATTTCTGCTGTTTATTTTAATTTTTGTTTTTCCTCTCCCTCTTTCAGGAAGGCCAAGAGGAAGAAATCAGTGCCTAGCATTTGGCCTGCAGGACAAGTTGGAAAATTCAGAAATGGGACCTTGATTCTGCAAAGCCGTGACATAAAGAAAATTAAATCATCTAAAGTTAGCAAATGAACTTCATGATACAGAAGGAAATGGACAATATGCATAAGAGAATTCACGTTGCTACCAACACAGACTTCTGGGGCCTTTTGTGTATCCACCATATCCTAATTTTTTAATCTTATTTGTTATTGCAGGATTTTTATGTAATATTCTGCCGTGGGATGGATATTAGAATTTACTATTTTATAAATAAAGATTAGAGTTCTTATTAAGAAGGTTATACAGGCTATTTTTATTAGTCAATATGTGCTAAAAAAGCCCTTTTTTTGTAGAATCAGCTTATTGGCTGTAAGTAAAATAGTCATTTAATCCATAAATTAATGGATTAATATAAATATATCTTTCATATGGAAGGAATTTGGAAAAAGCAATATCTTACTCACTCTGAACTGGAAGTAGGTGTTCTCCAAACATTTATTGGACATAAATCTGTTTCTGTATCCTTATAGATTATTAGTGGATAGTGGAACTGCACAATAATTTTTTTGTCCAGCAAAACCTCTTAATGGTCAAAATTACCTGCTTTGGAATGAAAATAATACTTTTCTGAAGTTTTGTCCCGGGCAAGAATTACACACTCATCTTGTATAACTCTGTAGAGATCTCCAAATAAGCACTTTGAAATAGTGGTTTGGTGGCTTGGTTGTTTGATTTTTAAAAACAAAACCATGTAAGACTGAGCCAAATGAGCATGGACACTCAAAAGCTACTGGTTGTTCCAGTTAACTCATGTTTGATTTGATTCCATGCTTCTTAAGGCCTTTCTATGAAATCTTTACCAAAACTGCCTTTTGGTGCTATGTGGATTTCAGCAGTCTGGTGTTTCTGGAACAACACTGATTGTTTTCTGTAGCTAAATACTTAATTTTGTTACTTTTAAGGCCCAACCATTAGAAATGGCAATTGTTAGTAACACTTCCAAAATGAAAGTTGAGTATTTTAGAGGGAGACAAAGATAAGGATAACTTAGATGACAGAATTTGTTGTGTGTTGTAAGGAGATGTGGAGCTTATTGGAACAGCTCTAGCAGTGAAGGATGTGTACATGGTAAGGAAAACAGCCCTTACAGCAGGAACTTGTTCTAGGTGTTCTGGTACCCCTGTGGGCTGGGAGCCTGAGCAAGGTGATCCCTGACCCGAAGTCTGTGTCTTGCCAGGCTTGCAGCACCATTGGAGCTGCCCCTCCCAGGATGGGAAAGTGTTCTGGGGTAGGGAGAGCCACAGTGTGGACAGGGATGCTTTCTGGCACGCAGCTTCCCCCACACCTTCCACCTTCCTTTGCTCTGCCAGCACTGAGAGCACCAAGAGGAGGGAAAGGGCTTGGAGGGATCAAGTGCCAGAGAGCAAGCAGAAGGGAGTGTTTCTGGACCCATGTAGGAACAGAAGGGGTGTGCAGAGTTTGGTTGCTAAATGCTGTTATCACATTTCCTAATTGCATAATTTGATTTCTTACTCAGTATTGGTTGCAGATTCAAACTAGAATTAAGATTCCTGTCTGGTTACAGACTTAATGACTTATTTGACATTAGGGAAATGTCAAATCACAATGGTGTGTGAAGGTGTAACCACTAAGAATTTAGTACAGAGCATCAAGACTTGTTGAGGCAACAGCTGTTGCTTTGGATGTTGTAAGATAACCTGTATTTTACAATTCATGGTTAATCCTTGAGCTTAGTTTTTACTGCTCACTTCATGATAAAGTTTTGTTCATCTCACTTGGCATATAATGTGGGACTTCATATGTTCTCCATCAGCTTTGGTAAGTTAAAATGTTCACTTTCCACCTCCACAGCTCCCAAAAGCTACTTGGGAGTGAAACTTGGTCAGAATGGAGTGTAACTTTTGCAGTTGAGCTTGTAAGATCTGTAAAAAGTTGAAAAAAAATTAGTTCTTAAATTAAAAAGTTGAAAACTGAAATGCCAAGTCAACAGTGGAATGTGAAAGCTTTTGGGGAAAACGAAAAGTTTATTCGAAGTTTTGCACTTTCACACTTAATGTGTGTATGCATTATGAAAGGCTTCTGTTACATGGAGATAGGTTTGCTTTTTCATATCATGTCCCAAGTTGTTTCGAGGTGTTCTGTAAGCAATATGAGCCAGAGCTAGCAGAGCAGGGCTGACAAAGAGAGGTGTTCCAGGCCACTGAATCAGGGTATGGCTGAAGCTGAGGCACAGATGGTTGCTCCAAGGAAGGACAGTCTTGGCTTTCTCCATTAACTGGATTATTCTTGACTGTAAGTAACAAAGCAGTATCAACAGTAGGAGATAGGCATGCAAACTGCATGAATGCCTCATCTATGTAATCATAATCTGTAAAAATAAATAGGGTACTGATGCTGGATTTGTTGGCAATGTTATAAGAATTTATTTATAAACTGTAAAACAGCATAAACTTATATGTCAGGTTTTCCAAAAGGGTAATAATAGTAATAATACACAAAGTTTTAGTTGGACCAAAAGACAAAAAGCAGTTTGTTTCTAATTCAAAAAATACAAACGTTTGCTGCAGGTACAAAATTATAAAAAGTTTGTATTTTCCTCTTGATCTGGTGCCAGACAATATAGCAGAGATGTATATTTCACCAGCTCCAAATTCATATAAGCTATGGGAAATGATAGTCAAGAAAAGAAATGTTGTAGTTAAGAAAACTTAGAAACAACTTCTTGTCTTCCATTTAACTGGAATTGAACACCGTTTTCTTTTTCCTTTGCAGTTTTTTAGTTGCCAACATTTAAATTAGTGTTACTCATGCTTCATATAACAATCAGAAATAACAGCAGGTTTACCTCATGCATTTATTTTTAATATTCATCACATAATGTCTTCTCACCATGCTACCTAGGAAGGTTAGTGTTTTTATTGACAACATTTAAGGGAAGTGGAAGATAAAGGAATGCAATCAGGATCCAGGAATATTTCTATCTACTGCTTCACAAGAAAATGTTAGAAATTCTCCAATTAGCATAAAAATACTTTTTAATTAATTCTGCTCGGAACTGTTTGCAATAACACAGGAAATAAAAGGTCATTTAACAAATGACCTTAACAAATAAAGGGGAAATGCTGCTGAGTGCCTCTGTCAGTGAAACACACACCTGTCTCCTGTATTGTGCAATGATGCAGGAGCCCCACTCATCTAGTCTCTTGGGTTTGCATATGGGCTTCTTTCTGCACCTGGGAAGACCAAGTGTGTCCTATTAATGATGGATTAGTGCTTCAGGCTGCTGCTCCACCTGGCTCTGTGTGTGTGCAGCATTCACTAGAGCTGGGCAGAGGAACCACCAGAAATGTTGTCAGTAAAAACTAGAAGCAGCTCACTTTTTTTCCCTTAAAAAATAATAATAAAAGGACTCTCCATCTTTGACTGGTAATTTTCAGTGACAAGTGCCCTTTACATTTGCAATGTGGTTGATCTGTAACTGTAATCTCCCTTCCAAAGTTGATCTGGCCAAGATGCTTGGTGTTTTCATATTACCTTGCCTGGTTCAAAATTGAATTCTTGGTTGTGCTATTTAAAGCAGAATGCTGCAAAGCTAGTAAAGCCTGAGATAAGGTCTAACAACTCTCCTTCCTCATCTTTCTGTTTGTGACCAAAGGATGTACCAGGTGGCACCAGAAAGCTGCTGTTCCCAGGTTGTGGAATTTTGTGTCCCTTTTCACAGATGATGTGAATTGTGGTCCATAGATGCACTACCTCTTGTTGGCAGTTGCAAACACAGTGGTTTTCATACAGTGGTGGTGGCAGCTTAGCCTTAATCTCATCTTGCTTACCTTAAGAAATAGTCATGTAAGAAAACAACAACAACAAAACAAGCTGCGTCTCACATTTCTTCTTGCTCTAGAACAACTGGGAAACCAGCATGTGGGGTGGTCTCTGTCATCTTTACTAACTGTGCTTTGAGGGAAAAAAATAAAATAAAAAACAACTTACACAGCACTACCACAGAACTCTATCACCAGCCAAGAACAAACTACAGCAATACACTATCATGGCATTATTTACAACATGATGGAACATTATGCATATAATAAATTACATTTAATACTTTTTCCTCTTAAACTCTGATAAATGTAAGCTCGTACTTATTTATTTTGTTCAGTCCAATATATTTTCCTCTGTGTATCTTAAGTGCATAGGCAAGTATAGGAGGTGACAGTGCTGTTTGCCCATCTTTTCTATGTTTTTAGAAGTCAAATTGCTTTCCAAATTTGTAATACATCACAGTATATTACTGTCCTCACTGCGATTTATTTTACAGCACATACCCTTCCACAGCAGAAGGAGCAAGGGATTGTCAGCTACATGTGTGCTTATATTGACATTAAGTCTTACTAAGCGATCTTGTGAGCTCTTTTCAAGCTGATGAGGGAAAAGGAGGAAGTGGAATTTGTATAGCATTGCATGCCTTGGGAAGTCTGACAGTGCTCCTGAACTTAATAGAAATTGGCAGAGGAAAGAGCCAGGAAGAAGGTTTACAAAAGGCTAAGGTTGGGGCTCCCAGGGGTAGGTGAGAACTGAGTCCTTTGTTGCTCTGCAGGACAGAAAGTTCAACTGCGGTATTTACTTTGCAGCTGTTCAGAGGTTCCATACTGGTGTGTGCAGAAGTCAAGCTTTGTGTTTGTTAATAAGGGGAGGGCCTGTTTGTGCTTTGGTGGGTTTTTTTAAATGTTAAGTCAATTTACAGCTACCTCGTGTAGGCTCTGTACCATAGAGGATGGGATTTGCCCCAGCGCAAGGGGCTTTGCTCTCCTGCTTATAAGAAGCAATCTGGCCTCTAGGAGCTGAAGAGTCCCATCACAGGCAGCTTTGGGTGAGCTTGGAGCCCCAGAGAGCTGCAGAAATACTCTGAGGGAACAAAAGGAAGAAGAGCACACAAAGTGGTCCCCTTGGGTATCTATTCCACTCTTCTGCGCTCTGGGTTCTCCCTGAACAGTCAGCAACGCAGTTTCTACAGGGACTAAATGCTGGCTCCCTCCCAAAGACAGGACTTGGAGGAAACAAAAAGAGATACTATAGATGAAGAATGTGCAAACCACTGGGTTTGTAATGAGATGGACCTTGGGGAAGATGCCTGCAGAGAAGGAAACTACCTCCAGCCTGAGCAGAGCAATGGGAGTGCCCCACCTCTCCCTGCTGCTGTTCAGATGGCCCCTGCAAGCTCTGCATAAATATTAATGTGTGGAGTTGTTAGTTTCCTAGAGTAATTTTACCTACTTAAGCATTATTTCTGTTACTCAAACTAGGAAAATGCATCCAGCTGAAGTCACAGGAGTGCACTATATGAGGATAACAGGTTTATTGCTACAGGCCATGCCAAATGTAAGTCCTTGATTGTGTACACAACCAACACATGCAAATGCTTTGTTTAGTTCTTTACCTAAGGTAAAGTAGTCTTACTAATGCAGGTAGCCTACTTCTAACTGTATTCCTTTTAACTTATTTGCATTTCTGCTAGGTTAAAAGGAGACTATAATGGTAGCTACCCTACTTTTGTGAATGTTGGAATGCATGGAGGGTAAAAACTGAGCTTCTCTACTCACTGTTCCTACCTACTGTCCATATATTCATTAGAAATCAACAACATGTCACTCAATGTGTTCTCCCCAAGATATACACCAGGAACTAACAACAAAGCAACTATGAAAACGAAAAATGAGTACTGCAAACACTTCTAAAACCCATTCAGAATTAATTTCAAACATCTGGCAATGGTTGAAGATTGGAAAGATGTAAATTCATTTGAGTTTCCTTTACAGTAGTTGGGAGTAAAGACAAAGGTTCTGTCTCAGAAGAAACAATGCCCTGTCTTTTTGAATACAAGTGAAAGTGGAGTGTCTTCCATATTAAAATTATCACAGGATGTTTCCCCATATAAAAACTATGTGCAATTTATGTATAATATTCCCATACACTATTCCAACTGGCAATACTCAAAGCCAATGCTATGATTACAACTGTTAGGTTCATTGAAGAGCACACTCAAGAGGAAATTTGGGGTCTGGTAGCGTTCTAGCTGAGGTAGGTGAAAACAGACCTGCTAATTAGAAAATCTTGCATGAGTTCGTATGGTATTGAATGAAACCGAAGATTATAACACAGTTGGTCTCTGATATTCTTTACAAAACCAAGATAAGCATAGCACAGTTATTCCATTGTCTACAAGTTTACTAATACAATCCGTTCCAGACTTTAAAGGAAGTGCTGTTGCTTCCTCACTTAAAAGCATATGTCATTATTTTTCCATTGTTGGTTTTATTTCCTGTTTCAGTCTCGACGTTGCTGAAGGTGCGTTGCTGTCCTGCAGGAGAGGTGGGCTCCAGGATGCTTGGTTGGCTACAGGCAGCAGGATGGCAGACTGCTTTGTGTCTGTGCAATAGCCCAGCTCTGTTCTGGGCTGCCTTTCCCTTCCCACAATGGCTGTGAGCTGGGATGATCCACGGGAGATTCTGGCTGTTTGCCACAGGGAAGCCTTGCCATCACTCAGCACTACCTGAGGGATGTGCTCCAGACAGAGAGCAGAAGGGGGCCTGCAGCAGGATATCTGGGGGCTGGCAGGATGCCTGAAGGCAGGCCTGGGCTGTTTGTCCTGTGGCTGTGCTTTAATGCAAGGCAGTAAACTGGATTTTGGTTGGAATATTTGTTTTCAGGTTTAATAATTACACGCCTGATAATATGTGTGTGCGTATACGTATGCTTGAAGAGGAAAATTTGTATAAGCAGCAGGATTTTAAAAAAGGAAATAGTACATTGATAGGATTTGAAAGTTTATGCTCTTCTTGTTTGATAGCACCACATTTCTGTAGGGTTAGAGTGACAAGAGTCCAAGATGTCATGGGCTCACCAAGCCTGCTGCATCTCGTCCTCACACATTGCCACTATACACACACACACACACTTGCACATGTTAACTGGGTTCAGAGGAAACGAAGCACACAGGCAAACTAGTGCTTGGTTTTCTGACAACTGCATGCAGGTGACAGTGCCATGGCTGTGAGAAAAGATCACTGTCAGTCAGACTCCAGTTGTCACGGGCAGCACCTGAAATGGCTGCTTGTTTTTGTGGGACATGCCAGGCACAGGTCAAGTCTTGCAAAAGATTTATGTCCCAATCCAGAAAAATTCTTAGGGATGGGTTTTGCATTACTGCTATTAATCTCTCTCAAGTGTTTCATTAGGATCAAGACTTTAATTAGCTCACAGTAATCTACTAGAAAATTAAGGCTTCAGATCTCAAAGCTACATTGGAACTACAGCTGCACAGGTTTTATTAGGATCAAGGCTGGAAAGCATCATTTCTCAATGTGGGAGACTTTGCATGTGCCATATTTAAATAAATCTT